ACATGACTTGAATGATTAGATGACATGCTCTGAAAATACCATATGTTAGAGATGATAGGAGCATATGATGTCTCATCTGTCATTAAAACATTGCATTTCTATAAGAGCAGAAAAGCTCCAGTGTATGTTAGTAAAAAAACACTGCAGCTTGTGATATACAGTAGTCTTGAATCTGAGCTATGGTGCATCAGGCAGTGTCTGTAGGTATCACATGGTACCAGGACATGTATAAACAAAAAATCACATGCTGTGTGTGTATTTAGACTCAGAGATATAGGAATACATAAGAAACAACACAGGTGACTGCTGCCAAGACATCTCAATTATACCACACCACACCTTAGTTTTTGAATTAATTTATGGTTATACACATCAAGAAGTCTTTTGCCAAATTCTTTCCCAATTGTTTGTATCCCCCATATTTGTGATCTGTAAGTTAAGGAAGCCATAGTTTACATTGAACTGGGTTTTCAAGTCATTTAATAAAGTGCAATGCAATGTAGACATAAAATGTTGCTTCCCTGATTTCCAGAAAGCAATACTATCTTTCATATAACATTTAATATTTCAATATACTTCCATTCACTCTAGAAGCAACACTAGGTATAAAGAGGAATTTCCAGATCAGAGATACTTTGTTTGTATGTATATATGCATACATACCCTTGTATGCAGAGAATACTCATTTCCAGATTACTCATGATTATTTTAGAAATTTTTATATACTTAAATTAAATATAAGGCAGAGGTAGTTTATATCAATATTTAAAAATTAGTTTTAGGGCTATGGTGTGTTATTAAGTGGTGGTTTATTTATTTATTCATTTATTTATTACATGGATTTGCTGGGTGGGAGGAGTGCTAACCAAGGTATGTGTGTGGAGGTCAGGATACAACTAGCAGGAGTAGGTTCTCTCCTTCTAGATGTGGGTTCAGGGAAGAAAACTTAGGTTCTCAAGCTTGGTGGCAAGAGCCTTTGCTTGCTGAGTCATCTGACTATCCCATAAGAATCTTTTTTAGGCCAGGCGTTGGTGGCACATGCCTTTAATCCTAGCACTGGGGAGGCAGAAGCAGGCTGATCTCTGTGAGTTCGAGGCCAGCCTGGTCTCCAGAGTGAGTGCCAGGATAGGCTCCAAAGCTACGCAGAGAAACCCTGTCTCGAAAAACCAAAAGAAAAATAAAAATCTTTTTCAGATGATTTGCTTGACCAGTTATTGGGAAAGACTATCCATAAGACATAGAATTTGACTTTTTTTTGTACTGGAACTTGAAACTACTGCCCATTAGTTCTCAAGAATGTTCACATTTAAGTCCTTAACATATTGATATTTTGACAAATGTTATGTATGATTCAATTATGTGTTACAGTAATAGCTGCCCGTCTTCTTTGAAAGGCAACACCAACATGCTTGGCAGGTTATATAAAGTGAGCTCTAACAGAAACAAGTCATGTAAGCAACAGGCTCACAAGTGTGATGTTTACCTTCTGTGGCACACTCTGGGTCACATGAAATTCCTGTGATTTTTCAATTAAAATTGCCAGTTCCTTAATTTGTGACTATACAAAGACAACAGATGAGTGTCTATGAGTGTCTATCCTAGAATGAAGCCATGTATTATATATATATATATATATATATATATATATATATGTATATATATATGTTATGTGTGTGTGTGTTACTGTGTAGATGTTTTCATGGGCTACAACTATATTTCTCCATTAAATATTGTATCTTAGCATTAATTTTCTTTCCATGCACATTTCTACGCTAATTACAAGCATGAGATGTGTATATGAATCATGGTATGTTGCTCTCTGCCTGAGTTCTCCTTTTCTTACTTCTGAGATGAACTGATTGTTGGCTCACTTTTCTGCATTGTGCCATATTGTGTACACATTGATCTAAGCCTCTTATTATTAGTAATTAACTTATTATTTCCTATTATAAGCTAATCCTAGGCTTTTCTTTTCTTTTTTCTTTTTTTGGGGGGGAGGGTTTTGAGACAGGGTTTCTCTGCAGCTTTGGAGACTGTCCTGGAACTAGCTCTTGTAGACCACGCTGGTCTCGACCTCACAGAGATCCGCCTGCCTCTGCCTCCTGAGTGCTGGGATTAAAGGCGTGAGCCACCACCGCCCAGCTCCTAGGCTTTTCTTTAATGTGCAATTTTTGTAGTAATTTTTGCCCAGTACAATGGCTGATTTCTGTTTATTAATATTTGTAGGAGTGGGTCCTAAATATATTTTCTGCATTTTGTTTTCTCTTCCAGGAGTATTTCTTTGAAAAATTATTAGATTTGTTCTTTGACACTTCTGTACATGTATGCAGTATATTATAATTATTCACACCTTGTCCTTGGACACCTTATCATCCTTCCATTGCTCTCCTTCCCTCCTCCTCCAAGTGTCCCTTTCCCGAATTCACGCTGTGAATTTTTGTGACCCCCTGATTTTAACTAGTATTGTCTGTGTGGCTATGATTTGGAACTGTCTATTGGTATGAGGAAGGTGCCTGGGTGACTACATAACTGAACTGAAAACAATTAACATTTACTACCCCTCCACCAGAATCCATTGGTAGCCAGTTTCCGTCCTCTTTCATCTATGATTGACAGTTGACAGACCCAATCTAGTGCAGGATCAGTGTAGGCAACCTAAGTTGTTGTGTGAGCATGGATGCAATGGCTATGCCATGTCCTGAAGTGTATTTGAAAGACTTTCTCCCTATATTCTTTCTATCTTATTTTCTACAATGTACCATGAACCTTAGAGGGGATGTTATAAATGCCTTTTATAGGGCTGGACATCCAACTGTCATGCATTCTCAGCCCCTTGACCAGCAACATTCTCAGCATTCATGATTATCATTGCAAAGAGAATCATCTCTCATTAACCTGAAAGTGGTGCTTTGTCTGAAGTCATAAACATGCACTGTCACTCTGTCAATTTAGTTAAACAATAACATTAAGTTTCTGCCTAGGGCCTAAGACCTCCGAACCCATGGACACACACACACACACACACACACACACACACACCATACACACACACATGTCACACACATCACACATCACACACACACACACACATGTAATTTTTTTTACTGAGTTGCATTACCAGACATGAATTTTCTCCCGTACATGAATTTTCTCCTGTAGAGCAACTTCTTGCCATATTTGTTCGATCATTATGGTAATGAAAACAATGCATTTTATCAGGTACACAAGTTCTTCTCAGGCAATATCAGATGAACTATATTAATTGAATCCTTAAATCTTTCTCCTATTGACAAAACTTAATGGTATCTTGGCCTGAAAAACATTAAACAAACAAACAAAACTCAAAGCAAAGAAAAGTTTGGGGAAGTTACCACGAGGTTTGTGGTCAGCAGATTTGACCTTTCAAACTCCCCTTTTGGGACAGGCTTATCAATAGATGAGGGGCATGATAACATTCAGTACAGGATAGAATTTGACAAGAGAGTGAAATAAAAGTTCAGCTTCCACATTCAGAATTTGTGAAGGGCAAATGAAATGGAAATGTATTTTCCTTTAATAGTGGAAAAGAGAATGTTCTTTCTCTTAAAACTTTGGGTTTCTCACAGTACTTTTTATTAAATTATGGCAAGATGCGGAGGAAGTATGCCACACATTTGCATAAGTATTAAAATAATTCATCATGATTAATTCTATTACACTAAGTCTCAGTTTAATCACGATCTGCCATAGACTATAGTGATTTGCTAGTATTTCTTTGTTTTTCCTGGGATTTTGGTGGGATTACACATTCTATAACAGCAAATTAGTCATGTGAGTTGCTGTCATTAATGTGGTTCCAAAGAGGATCCATATGGATGCATAAGCTTCAGATTCTTGTCAAAAAATACTTCAGACTGCTTCTGGAAGTGTGAGGACATTTAACCTCAGAAGTAGATAAACTCTTCATGGAAAACACAAAGGAGAAAACTGTAAGAGGGGAGAGTGGACAGACTTCAGATACCTAAAGGTCAGTAGGAAACAAGGCAATCACGTTGTCTTAGAACAGGAAATTTACAGAGAAGTGAGTGGATCTGCATAGAGAGATTTCAGACAATTGAACATCATCAGATGCAATGTGGGGAATTGACAAACCCCAAGTGAATATGTATGACTGACAAGGACCAAAGCCATCTCAGACCCATAGGAAATTGACAAAGCCTTTCTTCCAGGTTGGCATCAGAAGATGGTAAAGCCTTATTCAGGTCTCAGTGGTAATGTTGATAGAGTGTTAATCATTTACAAATGATTAACCAGTGTGTGTAAAACCTTCAACTACAGCTTCCTCTTCCAGGATGTTCACAGTCTGAGACTGCTGCTACCAGCAAATGCACTGAGGTTCCTAGTTGCTGAGTATTTGGTGCTGCTTTGTGAGAGGGTACACGGTGGCCCTGACCCCAGCTTTTTTGTGCTTGTGTCTGTGTTTCTGCCCTTTCTTCATTCCCTTAGTGCCCCAGTCAGGTTTCTAGGACCCAAGATACACAGGACACAGTAGAGATAGAATGAGACTCAGCATTAAAATAGGCTTGATAATCAATACTTCCTGTAACCAAGGAAAGCAAAGAGTTTTCATTGTTCTTTCCCCGTGTGTGTGTGTGTGTGTGTGTGTGTGTGTGTGTGTGTGTGTGTGTGTGTGTGTGTGTGTGTGTAGATGGTATCCTCATGAACCATATCCACCTCTGTGAGATACAATATTTCTCTCACTGAGATCTGGACCTTACAAATCAGGCTAATCTGTCCAGTGAGACCCTAAAATCCTCCTCTCCCCACCTCCCCAATGCTGAGATTAAAGGTACCCAACACCACCCATTATGTATGTGTGTGTAAGGAGTCAAACTCAGGACCTCATACTTACATAACAAGCACTCTACTGAATGAGCCATCTCTCAGCCTTGTGACTTCTTTTTCAGCCATAGGTTTCTATGATTACATTCACCATTTAACACCTTTCTTTTATACCTCAGATCTTGATAGTGGCTTCAGTTGGAGATGGCTTCACTGGAGATATTGCAATTGATGACCTGTCATTCATGGATTGTACCCTGTACCCAGGTAAGACACAGTGTTTCAAATACATGAGAATTTTCAAATCTGTTTATTTGGAAGAGTTACCAAGGAGATCTATACTTCATATTCAGGAATAACCTAAAGGCCCTCACTTTTGCAGTTCATTAAATGTATTGACACTGGAAAAGATATTTTAAATCTCTGCTAGTAAGTAGTCTTAAAATTGAAGCAGGAAAGATGTTTGAATCTGTTATTTTCCTCATTTATCATATACAGGACAGGAAGTCATATATGACAGTAAATTGCAGTTTCATGTTCTTTGTGAGACATAAGCGATTATGAAAATAATTATTTCTATATAGTAATTACTAAGTTGTTTATAGTCACATTGTGGTTTTTAAACTTCATTAGCATCTCATTTATCTCTAGGGACACTGATATATTACATTTAAGCTATACTTTTAACTATTCCTTGGAATTGTTTAAACTTGTTCATTCCTCATTTTTTTATCATTTTTTTTATTTGAATTACAAACAAGATTGAATTACATGACAATCCCAGTTCCCTTCTCCCTCCCTTTCTCCCCTACCACCACCCTCCCAACTAAAACCCTACATATCACATATCCATTCTTCTAATCTGCACTTGACTCAAACTTTCTGCTCCCTCATGACATCTGCATCCTTCCTCTTCTTCCCTTCTCATTCTCTTAGCTCCCTCATCCCTCTTCCCAAGCTCTCAATTTGCTCAGGGGATCTTGTCCCCTTTTGTCAATGGGACAATGTTTGTCTCTTTTAAGGTCCTCCTTGTTTACTAGTTTCTCTGGCATTGTGGATTGTAGGCTGGTAATCCTTTACTCTAAAAGTGAGTACATATCATGTTTGTCTTTTTGTGACTGGGTTACCTCGCTCATAATGATTTCTTCGAGTTCCATCCATTTTCCTGCAAATTTCAAGATTCCATTGTTTTTTTCTGCTGAGTAGTACTCCATTGAGTAAATGTACCACATTTTCTCTATCTATTCTTTGGTTGAGGGGCATCTAGGCTGCTTCCAGTTTCTGGCTATTACAAATAGTGCTGCTATGAACATTGTTGAACAGGTGTTCTTGTTGTATAAATGTGCTTCTTTTGGGTATATGCCTAGGTGTGGAATTGCTGGATCTTGTGGTAGACTCATTCCCATTTTCTTGAGGAGTCACCATACTGATTTCCATAGTGGCTGTTCAAGTTGGCACTTCCATCAGCAGTGGGGACAGAAGCTTCTCAGTTTCAGGAGGTCCCATTTATTAATTGTTGATCTCAGTGTCTGTGCTACTGGTGTTATGTTCAGGAAGCAGTCTCCTGTACCAATTAATACAAGGGTATTTCCCACTTCTAATAGGTTCAGTGTGGCTGGATTTATGTTGATCCATTTTGATTTAAGTTTTGTGCAGGGCAAAAGGCTTGGGTCTATCTGTAGTCTTCTACATGTCTGCATCCAGTTATTCCAGTACCATATGTTGAAGATGCTCGCTTTGTTCTAGCATATATATTTGGATTGTTTGTCAAAAATCAGGTGTTCATAGGTGTGTGGGTTAATATCAGGGTTTTCAACTCTATTCCATTGGTCTACCTGTCTATTTTTGTGCCAATACCAAGCTGTTTTCAGGACTATAGCTCTGTAATAGAGCTTGAAGTGAGGGATGGTGATGCCTCCAGGTGTTCCTCTATTGTACAGGATTGTTTTGGCTATCCTAGGTCTTTTGTTTCTCCATATAAAGTTGAGATTTGTTCTTTCAAGGTCAGTGAAGAATTGGGTTGGGATTTTGATGGGATTGCATTAAATCTGTAGATTGCTTTTGGCAAGATTGCCATTTTTACTATGTTTATACTACCTATCCATGAGCATGGGAGATCTTTCCATTTTCTGGTATCGTCTTTAATTTCTTTCTTTAGAAACTCAAAATTTTTAAGGTACAGGTCTTTCACTTTTTTTGTTAGTGTTACCCCAAGGTATTTTATGTTGTTTGTGGCAATTGTAAAGGATGATGTTTCTCTGATTTGTTTCTCCACCAATGTGTCATCGGTATATACTAGGGCTACATATTTTTTTTGGGGGGGGGCGTTAATCTTGTATCCTGCCACTTTGCTGAAGGTGTTTATCAGCTGTAGGAGTTCCCTGGTAGAGTTTTTCCGGTCACTTATATAAACTATCATATCTGCAAATAGTGAGAATTTGACTTCTTCCTTTCGGATTTGTATTCCCTTGATCTCCTTTTGTTGTCTTATTGCTCTAGCTAGAACTTCAAGGCCAATATTGAAGAGGTATGGAGAGAGTGGACAGCCTTGTCTTGTTCCTGATTTTAGAGGAATTGCATTGAGTTTCTCTCCATTTAATTTGATGTTGGCTGTTGGCTTGCTATATATTGCTTTTATTATGTTTAGGTGTGTTCCTGTTATCCTGATTTCTCCAAGACCATTATCATGAAGGCGTGTGGCATTTTGTCAAAGGCTTTTCTGGCATCTAGTGAGATGATAATGTGGTTTTTTTTTTCCTCAGTCTGTTTATATGTTGGATTACATTGATGGATTTTCATATGTTGACCCATCCTTGTATCCCTGGGATGAAGCCTACTTGATCGTGGTGGATGATTTCTCTGATGTGTTCTTGGATTCGATTTGCCAGTAGTTTATTGAGAATTTTTACATCAATGTTCATGAGGGATATTGGTCTGTAGTTCTCTTTCTTAGTTGTGCCTTTGTGTGGCTTGTGTATCAAGGTTATTGAAGCCTCATAAAAAGGAGTTTGGTAAGGACACTTCTGCTTCTATTGTGTGGAATACTTTGAGGAGAATTGGTATTAGCTGTACTTTGAATTTCAGGTAGTATTCTGCACCGAAGCCATCTGGCCCTGGGCTTTTTTTTGTTGTTGTTGTTGGGAGACTTCTGATGACTGCTTCAATTTCATTAGGGGCTATAGGTCTATTTAAGTTGCTTATCTGTTCTTGATTTAATTTTGGTAAGTGAAATCTGTCCAGAAAATTGTCTGTTTCCTTTAGATTTTCGAACTTTGAGGAATATAGATAGGTTTCGAAGTATGACCTGATGATTCTCTGGATTTCTTCTGTGTCTGTTGTTATTTTCCCCTTTTCATTCCTGATTTTACTAATTTGCATGTTCACTCTTTGTTGTTTGGTAAGTTTGGATAAAGGTTTGTCTATCTTGTTGATTTTCTCAAAGAAGCAACTCTTTGTTATATCGATTATTTGTATCGTTCTCCTAGTTTCCATTTTATTGATTTCAGTCCTCAATTTGATTATTTCCTGGCATCTGCTCCTTCAGGGTGTATTGGCTCAGCTTTCAGTTGTGCTGTTAATTCTCTAGTGTGATTATTCGCTTGTTTCTTCATGTGGGCAATTAGCACTATGAACTTTCTTCTTAGCACTGCTTTCAAAGTGTACCATAAGTTTGGGTATGTTGTATCCTCATTCTCATTGAATTCTAGGA